ATTGCAGATGGCTCAATTATTTTGCTTCCCATCATAGACCTTTTTTCCATCTTCCTACACATTGAAAAGGCTTTTTTTCAGAGCTTGTCCTCTAAAAGTGTTTTAACGGTTCTGTTTAACGTATCTCCATCATGCCCCCACCTGGCTTTATCAATCTCGCTTTGTGTTTGTATATTTTGCCTTCAGGCTTTGGGACAATAGACACATTAAAAGACAGGCGAGCAAAGCGCAAGCACAGGGGCTCTCCTGCCACTAATAGAGCTGGCCCTTTAACAAGTTCATCTCTCTGTGTGAGCCCGTTCAATTGAAGGAGTTTCTTACTTCTGCCCAAAGGGCAAGCCATCAATGCCAGCCATCTTGTGCTCACTTATTTACCAACACTATTCCTTTCCTTTCAAACAGCTTTGTGCTTCATCGCAATGGTTGTCACTTGTAATATATTGGTACCAGTGTTATTAGAAAGCCAGATGTCTGTTTGCGGCATCTCATAAACAAAATGAAGGTCATTTTCACAACAATGGAAGGTCAGATCCTCAAACATGACTGGTAAGACTTCAAGCTAAGCTAAGAGGGGCATTATAATACTGTGCCTCATTAAAGTGGCACCACAGCATCTTTTGCCCTTTGGTTTTTATATAATTATTTTTTTTTAGGAATGACATGTGCTCACATTAGTATATTGAATAATTGGCAGACTTTGACAACTTTTTGTAACAACATTTGCTGCAAATTGAGTTTATCATGTTCATTCAGTACTTTTAATTTATTTGTTATTGTTAAATTATGTAATCTAATCTAACTAAATGCAAGGTAGATTTTTTTTTCTTTATGGATGATTTAGTCTTTAATTAATGAAATGTCTATTTTAAGCTAAGAGCTACAATTCTATAATTCTTAAGCTAGATTTTTTTTTCCTTTTTATTTTTATGTTTTATTTTATTTGTATGGCTTTAATTATTTGGATGGTAACAATTTTATTTCTGCTTAATAACACTTGATAAAGGGAAAACAAAAATAAAACTAAATGCTTAATATTTGTCATAGTAATTCAGTATGTATGGCAGTTAAATAAATTCACATTTTTACATTTTACATTGCATGTGTTATTAAATATTTTTAAGGTTTTGTATTATATTTGTAAATAAAAAAATATATTCTTTGTGTCTTTGAATAGCATACTGTTATGACTTCCTCCTTCACGATTTCTATTTATGCAATCAGTTCTTGACAGCTTTAGTTGAAGTGTTGATAAAAGAAAAGGATAAATGTGGGATGTCATCTGAGCTGAGCTGTGTGCCTGAGGAATCACCATTTGCATGATGTTATGCAGTAGTTATACTGCAGAATTAGACCAATGTGCCGTGCCTGACTCTGGGTCACCCACAAATTGTCTCTTTTATCCTGTAATCTCAGGCTACATATAGAGTAATGTGTGTGTGTTTGCTTTCTGGGTGATGATATTTGTTCTCTTGCCATGTGTCTGTCTGTCATCCTGACGTGCTTGAGCTGCAATTTGAGCACTGGTGTCTTGTCAGATCCTAATAAAAATGTGGTTGGGATACTGATACAAACCAGCAGCAGAAGAGAGGAAAGGGTTTGTCTGGCTGATAAGCTGGAGCAAAAGCAGCCTGTGGCAGGGTCATTGTTGCCTTCTGTCTCTCTCGCCGCTGCCAGAGTAGTTTGAGTAGAAGAGGTCCCTGGTTTTTCTTTTTGTCCGAATCATTGCATGCGAACATAGAGTTTTCACAGCAGCCAGCGAAGGTTGACTTAAGCCAACTGGCTTCCCTCTGATCTTGAGTTCTTTTGAACCTCCTTATTCTTTTGAAACCAACACTAGTTATCACTCAAACTTTTCCATATACATATGAGAAACTCAATAAACACCTTTTTTTTTTTTTTTTTTTTAAAAAAAAAGGGCCAAATCTGACGGGTATTGTGTTTAAATTTGAAAAACCCACAATAAATTCTCCAGAAAAACATAATGCTTGCCATGTGATGCAGTCCTGGTTTGTCCGTTTTTTTTCCCGAACTGTGCTAAATGACAGATGAATAGCACAATGAAGCTGAGGTGCTGAGGAGGTGGAAAAATGCTGACTGTCCTCTTCAGCAAATGTTTTGAATCATTTTATAATTATTCCATGAAGGTGATACATATAGGGTTATATCTCTTGTACAATAACCATAATATTGAGCAGCTGGAGTAATTTGACCAGTCCTTAACTCAATTTCCCAGCACTCCCAACAACAACGTTATTTTGGCCTCGCCAACGTTTTCCATACCTTGTCTTGCTTATCTTGCCAACCAAACTTTGTTTTTATTTAGTTGCCCTTTTCATTATTATTATTATAGCTGGCATCCTCTTTTTGTAAAGGATGAAGACTGACAGTTGGACAACCCCAAAAATAACACCACCCATAATAACTGTCTAATTTCTTAGCCATTTCAGTACTGTGGTTTAGCCCATTGAAGCTGTTTGGTCGTATGAAATATTGCCAATAGTAAAAATCTTATGCCAGCCTTTGTTGAGGCTGGCAAGGGAGTAAAGTTTCTCAGTTGGCCAGCCAATAAATACAACCAAGATCAAAGGTCTCAGGCTTTATAGGGTATCTAGCCATGCTGCTGTGGCTATAAAGAATATGTGAGGGTATATGCTCACACACCCAGGAGCCTGAAGGGCCATTAAGGCAGCAACGCTTCACAGTCATTTGGAAATCTTGAAACCAGGAGGACACAGCACAATGAAAGTACACATGCTCAAAGGTCCACACATTTCTTCTCTGTTTCTCTCACGCTTCTCTCAGTGTGTGTGGTCATTTGATGAAACCTACACTGCCCATGGCTCAAAGGGTAGAGGAGGTGCTGACAAGAAAAACAAACAGAAAGATGACACCTGACTGGATAAATCAAACACCTCAGCTCTTCCCATTGCAACATGAAACCGCACCAGTTGATAAAATGAGAATTGAGGAATACGCAGAGACTTGTCTTCAGTATATGTTATCAGAATACTAGACACCTCCCTTATCCACACAATTGTTCAACATAATGCTTTTGCTTGTTGTAATATAAAACCGAGGTGTTAACAAAACAAATTGTCCATAGTATTAAAATAGTATTATAATAGATCACTTCATCACGAATCCCCTTGTTTCAGGGGGAGAATCGAGGGGAGTAAGTGTGGCTCCCAGATAAGTGGGGGGACGTCAGAAAATGTGTTCATTCATTGGCCATGCACACTTAGTTATAAGTAGGGATATGATTGTTGATACACACATGCATTTTGGAGATGAAAAAGTCCTTGGGGCTTGGTATTTAATCACCAATCAATTAAAGCAGTGTTGATGACACACCAAAGTCCACTATTTTCCATTTTTCCATAGCTTTTCTGAAACAAATGTGAAAAAAAAAACACATATAGATGTTATGTTGATGGTCAATCTAGCCATGGAACATTTCAACCAAACTTTTACACCATGGAAACAGACACTTTTGACTTGTGACTAAATTCTTAACTTCTGTGCAGTCTCATAGTGTGACAGAAGTGTCGATAGACAGTGTCATGATCTGAGATGAATAATTAAGATAGCCACTTATGATTGGGAAAGAGAACTCAGACTCCAGGATAATGAGACATTGATGTGTTACGCTGGAGCACGTAGAGCAGATATATGTCACGGCCTGTAAAGTACAGTTTTAAAAGTGGCGACTAAAAATGGCGATTAAAACTAACAGCGATGATTTTCAAAATAGCAAGTTATGGAAACATATGGACCTTTTGAAATCAATCAGTGATTTTTTTTGTATATTAAATTATTCAATATAATTGTACATATCCATATACTTACTTATAAAAATGATTAGAAAATAAACAATATTCACTATTCACTATCAGGCACAATGGGTGGTTGAAATATAAGTGATTGAAAGTATTTTTTTTTATGCTTCAAATATCATGCCTGAAATTTTTTTTTGTGTCATTCTGACTCTTAACTTTCCAAATCATCATGCAAAGGAGGGCATTGCTCTTCAAATCTATCGAAATATTTTCAATAAGTTTTCTTAAACCTTATTACAATGGTAAAAAAAATACTTGAGAACTTCATGATGGTACTTTCCTTGTGTTCTTTTTATATTTACTTGAATTATCACTAACAAAGCTGTTTTCTTTTGGTTACAATTGGGAAAGTCATACTACATGAGTGTCACGCCATATGACATTTTGTTTTAGTTTGAATCAAAAATCCAAGTAGAAATCTTAATATACAACACGTTTGGTAGCATTTTACTATATGTTGTCAAGTGAGCATCATTTAAATCATTTCATTGTAATGCACAGATTTTTTTTATCGAGTTTAATGTTTACATTTTTTATGTAACCCTGCATCACATATAATTATAGTGTGAATAATAAATCAAGTATGTATTAATGCTGTTTCAATATTGTAGCATAGTAAATAGCACAAACACTGTTGATGAATGAACATGGGCCAGGGATTTGTTACAGATTAGATGATTGTAGAGAGAGTGTCAGAAAAAATCATTAGCCTCCTTCTTGGGGATTCATTTTGTGTTGTCAGTCAGATAAACAAATGTGCATTTCAGGTGATGTGTGGAGTCTGTTTTACAGCAGCAGCGCATCACTGCTGAAGAAATGTCAATCACCTCACTTCGCTAGTTTGTCACATTAAGCCAGACTGATGAAACTGGATGTTTGTTCATGTGCAAATGGATTTGCATGAGTGAAAAAATTGACTGCTTTTAAATGGCATGTTTATCATTTCTGTGTCGTCACAAGACAACTTGATACAAGTGCATCAATGTGCAGTGCACTGTGCTCTATTATATGAAGAAAACACTGTTTGAATCGCACCTTGTATTATGATATTACAGAATAATTTTTCTTTACCCTTGAGACAGCTTTATTCTATTGATATTTAGAATTTTTTTTTATGAAATTTCAATCAACAATTCTGATTCTTATTTTCACAAAGGAAAACAGTTTCCTGTGGCTCAGTCAGTAGAGCTTTGCACTAACAATGCACAGATTGTGGGTTTGAACCCTAGATAAATGTAGGTTGTTTGGATAAAGGTGTCTGCAAAATGCATCAATTATTATTTTATTGAAATATATTTTCCTAATTATATAATAATTAGTTTTTTTTTTGTGAGTACCAAGTTTTCTGTGTACCAAACTAATGGTTATTCAATATATACCCTATTGGTGAAAATAGTATTCCACAAAATTATCTTCTCATTTGGGAAAAAATGTCCCCTGCTCCATCTCCTAGGAAACAAGGAAGAGTCATGTAATTGCTTTTGTTTTTTTTTTTTTTTTTGGAAAGGAGGGGTCAGAAGTGCCCCCTAATACTTTTACAAATTGAATCGGGACAGATGAGCATCTAGGGTTACACATTTTTTATATTTCAGGTAATTTACCAAATTACTCAAACCGCTTTCACAAGATCAAGACAATGCCATTCCCTGTATTTCATGTCCATGGGAGCATAATTCACTCTTGTACACGGCATAAAAGAAATAAAGAAAGCTAGAGATCACGTCTATTATTTTATTTTACTGTTGGATGTTCATCTCCAAATAATGGACCTTTAAATATGTGCTGTTATTTATTTATATGTGAATTTTATGGTTTTAAATACGTTTTATCCTGACCAGGTCACTGGATGATTATTAACTCTTTTGTGTGTTACCAATGTTTATAATGTGTAGAATATACAACTTGCTATGTCACTGATAAAGGATCATTTAAAACATTAATAATGTCTATTGACTGATAATAATATAAACTGTTAATAATAAATAGTGTTAATGATAATGCACATTTCAAAGCTTACTACACACCTAAATCTAAGAAAAATGTATGTTTCAAAGTTTAAAACATTAATATTTTCCAAAAGATACAGACATTTTATGAGGTCATAACATATTTAAAAGCTTAGGTTACTATGAAATATGTGAAAACACTGATAACAGTCACTGTTTAATCTTGCCAGTAATGGGGACAGTACTTTTTTAGTGATTTATCTCTGAATTTGTCGCTTTCATGAAGCAGAATGTATCAAAATTGTTTGTGTTTTATCAGACAACCTCACACAATGGTTTGTACCATCTGAAAGAAACCTGGTTTGCCCATGTTTTCTCCCAATTCTCTCTGAGATAGTTTCCATGGAAGGTGTTCTACTGCAGCTATTAATTTTTTCTTATATACCCCCCCCCCCACACACACACTCACTTCTTTTCACATCCCTATTTTGGCGGTTTGCTTTGTTCAGGAGTGCAGACAAAAGCACTGTCATGCAACACAAAGATTTGGTAAGATGGACCAAATGTAGCGCTAATGGTGCTAAGGGCCTTAACCATGCCTGTCATAAAGATAGAGCACTGGAACAAGCAGAGGAGGACATGTTCACAATTGCCAAATCTACACACAACTGCAGAAATAAGAGCTATTTAATGTCATCATCACAATTCAGTTCAAAGCCAGGGAGTAATGAAGGAACAGCCACTGTTTGAGGAAATCATAAGCTGCCTGTTGCCATGGTAACTTCTAAAGCCTAAACTAGTAGGTGCCTTCTGAGTTCAGCACTGTAAACACAAGAAACAAAAACAATGTTTCATCAGTTGATGCGGAACATACGTACATTATGTTGAGTTTAAATGTTTTTTTTTGGGGGGGAAGGAGGGGTTATTAACATTTGTCTTTTTCAAAAGAATAGAATAGAAATACGTCCAATAGAATATTGCATTTGAGCAATTGTTCTAAAATTCGGGGCAATTGGTTTGGGACTGGTTTGGACTGTTTGTTTGGAAAACAACTTGCTAGGTTTTCTCAACTTCATGATTATGCTTGGTCAAAATGGCTCCTGCATCTCCATGCAACCTTGTTGATTTTGGTCCCCCATTTTGAAATTAGTTAAACGGTAAAGGAAGCCATTTTATCACAAAACTTTGATATGGTAATACATGACCTCTTCCTAAGGGTACTTACTCTATTTAGAAGCAATCCACACCTATTCTCTCCATGTAGGTGCCTCAGGTCAGATGAGTAGCTTCACATCAAGATACCAGGGACCTAAAGGAAATTTTCCATGGTTGCATCTGGAATTCTTTACTGCTGTACATTAGACAGTCACCCTCATTATTTAATTTTAAAACACATCTTAAAACCTAATATTAATCCTTGGGTTTTAACCTAGCTTGAGGTTTTTTTAATTATTTTAAATATGTATACAGTTTTGATTGTTTTGTATGATTGCATTTACATTATGCATATATAGAGCACTTTGTGTCTGTTCATTTTGAAGCACTTTAAGAATAAAATGAGTTGAGTGAAATTCATCACATCTGACTAACAGAAAGAAAGAAACCTGTCTAAATATAGGACTTATCACCTACTGCTAAACCTTTGAAAGGTCGGAGCTGAAAGCCTCTCTCTCTAGATATGAGTTGGATATGTTTTTACAAGTTTATTAAAAATGTCAAAATAATTTTATGATGTGAGTAGAGCCGTGTACGAGGAGCAGGCGAGGAGCAGAGAAAAATCATCTGTGCTTATGAGAATCGACAAGTCTTTCAACCCTGCTTCTGAAAGAGTTTCAATTTCAGTGTAGCAGCAGGCTATTTCTGTTTAATACAGATGCTCCCCCTGAATATATGAAATGACCTCTTACAACAGCAAGAGAGAGAGATAGATAGAGAGAGTTCTGTTCTACATGACACCAACCCTCTTTGTTTCGGCTCCGGGGTTTTAATGGAGGAATCTCTTATTTATTTTTCTCCAAACTTTACGTTGGCTTTGCAGAGAGTCCCGGGTTTGAGCTGTAAACCTTACATTATGTCTCTTGTTTTAGTTGTATTTTTGGAGATTCCACAATTCCAGGAGCGGGGAAAGAGCACGATTTCTGACAATTTATTTGAATAAAATCAGTTTGTTTTTATTTCATCAGTTTGTCATTGCTCACCATTGCTGGTGTATTTGGGGAATTTGGTTTGGCGAGACTTTTGTAGAAGTAAGCTGTGATAAATTATTTATCAGCTTCAAGACGTGGTTCCCATCTAATGTTCCAGCACATCTTTTGATCACAGTGAGCTACTTTGAGAGGTATAACATACTGGGCTTCAATCAGCAGGGAGGTGTGGCTGCTCAGATAAGCCCCGTTCCGCTTCTTTCCATTCTGCATGGTCAGGCTGTTTCACTGGGTTGCTCCATCAGCTGACAGAAATCACACCTCAGGCGCTTTTTGAGATACAGATTTATTGTTGACCTTTTCTTTTAAATGTCTTCATTCTCTTTTAAAAGCACAGTTACCAATAACAAACTGCATGTGATATGTCATATTTAATTCACCATTCACTGTGATGAATTGTTTTCCAGAGAGGGGGCATTACTATCAGATCGCGGCTTGTTTATTAGACATAGGTGGAAGCACCGGAAGGGCTCATGCTTGTCTTGTTTAGAGTCTGAGGCAGGTTCATTGAAGATGTGGCCTCTGTTCTTGATCGGATTTTTTCCTTTATGATAGAACTGGCAGATTATCATATTGAAAGTGTCGAAAGCTCTCTGAGGGTTTTTTAAAAGGCAATCCTAATCACCTAAGCCCCAAGTTGAGGAAGTCCAGATGGAAGACGTTTTGAAATCTCTTATGGCTCATTGTGACTTATGGGCAGTTTTCTTAGTGGACGGTTCCGTGCTGGGGCATTAAACCAAAGGATTAGGTTCAGTTTATGAAACTGGAGGAAAGACCTGAATGGTGCTTGCTTTCTTCCTCTTTTTTGTGACTTCCCCCATTGAGGACATATCTGTTCAAGCCTTTACTCTACAGACTTTTCAACATGTACTTAACTGAAGGATTCAGATTTTTTTCAGAGGCACAAGTTGCAGTTTCTCATTTTTCTTGCAAGCAATAAAAAGAGCTTGCAACTGGAGGAACAATTTATGTGCCTGGGTTGACCTTCCAAGATCTGGGTGTGGGATTTGCACATTCACCAGTCCTTCAAAGATGCCATTTATGTCGGAGATATTCAAAGCTCAGACTGGATAGTGCTGGTTGTTTTATGTTTGTTTGGTGTACAGTTTGTACTTACAGTTTACTTAAATGCAAACTATATTCATTTGCATATTTACATTATTCTTTGCTATTGTGCAAGTTCTCTGACTTTAGAAGATGAGAAAGGCTGGTAATTTTCATCAAAATGAGAAAAAAATCCAGAAAAATCACATTATATGATTTTTAAAGAATTTGTTTGCAAATTAAATAAAGAAATATAAATTTTAGTCTCAATACTTTTTAAAAGTGTTTTTTACCTGCAGATCTTCTTTGTAGGCAACACAGGCCCAAAGATTTTTCTTCATGGCGTTGAGATCTGAAGACTGGCTAGGCCACTCCATGACCATGAAATGCTTCTTACGAAGCCACTTCTTCACTGCCCTAGCTGGATGATTGGGATTATTGTCATGTTGAAATACACAGCCGTGTTTCTTTTTCAATGCCCCCTTGCTGATGGAAGAGACTTTCACTCAAATTCTCATGATACATTGCCCCACTCTTTCTTTGCTTTATCAGTTTTCCTGGTCACATTTGCAGAAAAACAAAGGTCTACAATTTTGTTTCTGCTGTCCTTTGACAGTTCTTTAGTCCTTGGCCAAACTTAAGTGAAGTTTGGAGTGTCACTGTTGGAGCTTGTGATCTTTTTTACTGAGTTACAAACCCCAAAACCAATAGTGCCTAACATGCTAACATTCCCTACTAACTTGAGTTCCAACCATGCTTCATTATGTACCGTATGTACTACTGTACATATTAGTAGCTTCAAACAAGCCAAGAAGCCCTTAATTCTTGTGATCAATTGCATTTCTTTTAGGTTGAAGCTTATCTATGCAGAACTCTGGCCCTCTTTGCCCACCTGTGCTCCACATGTCCTCTTCCTTCTCTCATAAAGACTGCAAAATCCCATAGACCAATCAGAGTGGAACATTAAACGACATCTCTTACCTAAGTCACCACACAGCACCCCTTTATGGCTTACCTGTTGTTTGTGCAGTTGCCAGTCA